AGAATACTCTTGCTGTTATTAGGGGCAGAGAAATGGGCCCTTACTCTAAACAAGATTTGAAAGTGTGAAATAAGGCAGGGGCTACTGAGATTTTCACACTCAACAGTTTACCATGTGTAAAAACAAAAACACACATTGGATACAGCTGCCAGTGGCCACACAGACTTTCGCTTATAGCCGATGGTTGAAAACTATGAGTTTGTCAAATTAATTCTGGTATTTCTAGGAAATGGAGGAATGAGGGACTCTGACAACAGAAAACTATTTACCTTGCTCATATCTTAGTTTTTAGTATTGATTTAGTGTCTAAAAAAATCACTTTTGAAAAGCAAATTTGATACATGCAACTTTTCCTTATCCAGATGTGGCAAACAATTACTGTTGTATTTGAGCATAACTAAAAATCTTTAGGGGAAAATAATGTTAACTTTATTACTGTGTAGTAACTGGTAAAATTACTATTATGTAGTATGAGTTGGTAACAATGAGGGAAGAAACAGCAAATATGTAGCAGGATGTTGTAGTGAGCAGCGAGACTGACCGACTCAAGCTCCTGTTTGGGTGAATATCTACTCTACTGTTGGAGCTCCATTTACAATTTAGTATAATTTCTGTAGAAAACCTTCCACGTCGGTTCGATGAGATAACATTGAGTTAAATATATGTAGCAAAGATGCACCATTTGCAAATCTGAAATGAAATTGTGGTGAGCATCCACACTAACATGTACAAACACCTGGTACAGTTCAGGCAACAATGACCAGAACAGTGAGTGCAGTATTTAACAGACAAGCAATCACAGAAAATACTGCGGTCTGACCACATTCAGATGCAAAAAACTAGCCATGTCTGGTGAATGTAAAAAAAAATGAATAAGGAAACTTAATCTTAAGAATGTAAAAATGTAATAAATCATTCCCATGACCATGTTTTTAACAACAGGCACTCAGTCAGGGAATATTTTCCTATCTACTTTACTGGTGAGACAGCTGCAGGACTCTCATGAATGTTGCAGCCACATATCATGCTTCCTCAGGCAGTCAACAGTCATGACATGAACTATGTGCGAGCTTCCTCCACGTTTCATGGTGAGATAACTGGAGACCTCAGCAGAGTCCTGTCAGGAAAGTATTTACTTTCCTCGCTGCCACGTCAAGAGAACACAGGTTTGTACTATAATTTAGTACAAAATTGTGTACAACTTTTTCCTTTACACTTACACTTTACACTTTTTTAAGGAAATATTGTTGTTTTACTCCACTACATTTATCAAACAGCTATGTGTTACTGCCACATATAGTTACATTTCAGAACATATTTAAAAAACTTACAATAGTCTTATAAAATACAAATAAGTGTTTCTAACCTTTTTGGCTTCTGACCCCTTGTGTAAAACTGTTATGTCCAGTTGGGTCTAACTGTCTAAAGTTATAGATGTCTCTTAAATGTTAGCAGTTTCACCAAAGAGACATTTACCACTGAACCTTCTCAGGTGGTTTCCTAAATAACTGATTGAAGCACAAAGAGGTACAATTATCTAATATTTCACAAAAGAAAACAAAGATTAGAGAAAAGTTTTTAAAAATGTCCTCACCCATTAATCATCTCACGAGCCCCTCAGATTTATCTTGTGACCCTTTAGAGGCCCTGACCCCTAGGTTGGAACCACTGGACTAAACTAGCGCACTGTTAAAACTAGCTCTTCTGCTATTAGCTCTACTACTTCTGTACTTTTACTTAAGTAGGATTTTGAATGCAAGTCTTTAACTTATAACAGTATTTTTTTTACATTGTTGTATTGGTACTTTTACTAGAGGATCTGAGTACTTCTTCCACTACTGGTTCTAGTGCAGTATGAGGAGGGAGAGCTGGTTCTAATTGATATGAGGAGATAGACTGTAACCCTAACTGCCAAAAGCTGCTGTGCGCTGCATTATTTCATCTCTTCATGTGCCCTGAAAAGAATATGACAAAAACATCAGAGAATGGAAAAAGCATGACTTCAGACTTTGCAACCTGGCAGATATAATCCAATCACTCTGCTGAGGGCCTAACTCGTGTTTAACGCCAGTCTATACATCATACTGTATATCTAATTTAAGGCTGAGCTGACTGGTCTTTGAAGAGGCAGTTTTGAAATCACATTCCAGTTTCCCCTCCCAAAACAGCAAATTATTTCTACTCCCGCGAGACGTGTGATTTCGGACTCAAGAGTTGGAGCAAATCACTTGCAGACTACTTCATGAGGAGCTTATTAATCTGAGACAAGGGGTCTGGGATTCAGGTTGAAGTATAAACAACCTCATCATCAATGGACAACGTGAAAAAGCTTTGACTATATAGAGTGTGTGCTTGGTTCCACCTCAACAACATCAACATACGCTCAGAGTTAGGTTTGACGCCAGATACCACAAAGAAAAACTACGGCAAAAATGTGCCCCATAATTTGTTGCAGTCTCTGTATTTCTGTAAGCAAGGTAGGCTGTAATTAATCCCAGCACAATGAGGATCCTCTGCGGAGCGTGCTCATGTATTTGTTATTGGACGTTACCAAAGGGCCACTCTGGAGCCCATCAGATACATTGTCTAAATACACAGCAATCAGATGAGGGTTTTTTTCTAAAACATCTCCCACCAATGCCTCAGCAAAAATTACCAAAGGTTATCAAGGAGCATCTACCACCAGACTCTGACCTACATGAACCCAACTTAATTTCCTCCAAAACGTTCCTCAGTGCCTTATTTCTTCCTCATTACAATCCCTGAATCAGGTTGTTTAAATTAAGTTGGCCTGCAGTCTTCTGCGAGAGTTGGAAGAGAGATGGTGGGAAAGGCAGTTTAGAAAGATGTTGAATGTAGCTGCCACTTCTTATCTACCACATATTAGCAAAGCTGAGAAATGGTATTTGCCATGTTGCATTAGCCCGCTGCCGTCCCATCATCGCCTGCCATTCCCAGCAACAACATGATCCAAATGTAGTCCAGATGTCTCAGCCATCAAGCTTCAATATTTCACTAACCCTGCATTAATCTTATCAAGTGTGTCACGGATCCCTGCTTGATAACATCTCACAGGATTTTAGAAAATCAGTGCCGGCAGCTGACCATAGCTTCACTACAAATTGAAATTTATATCACCTTGCAGATTTATTTTGCACATAAATGAACAACGTAAGATGGAAGTCTAACAATAAAATAGTTCACATAATTGTGATAAAATAGTGAAACTTTAATAATCTTCATGGGGAAAAGTGGGTTAATTTATCTGAATTCAAATGTCAACACAATACTGTTTACCTAACAAATATTCAGTTTATAGAAAGCAGATAATGTATGAGGACCAGTTTTCTTGTGCAGCTTGATGTTACCTCATCCAGATGTGGAAAGTAACAAAATACATAACTCAAGTGTACTTAAAGCACAATTTTGTGGTGCATTAAAAGTCTTAAATGTTTTTAGATGTGACACTCTTCCTCTTGTTTTAGTGGGGAATATTGATATCAGAGGTGTTAAGCCCATTAAATATGACACAGAATAATTTCTCCTGAAGAATGCGCTATCACTGTGTGTGGATGATTAGTTTCTTTCTGATGAGCAGTTGGCACTTTGCGTGGTAGCCTCTGCCGTCAGTGTTAGTTGTTGAATATGTGTGTGAATGAGGTGAATGTGACATGTAGTGCATAGTGCTTTGAGTGGTCTTAAGACAAGAAAGGCGCTTTATAAGCACAGTTCATTTAAAATTTATAATACTATAATTATTAGTTTTTCTTCTCCTTATTTAACACACAGAAGGTGGTAAATGCATCAATTAATCTAAAGATCTACAGATAAGTAAAGATGTGCAGTTCAGAGATTGTGCCGTTTTTATACATACAATATTCTATACTGTATGATCCACATTCATTCGGCCAGGTTGGAAATCCCTCATACTCCCTTCTCCTGCTGCCTCTGTCGTGCGGCAGGAGAAGTTTTTCCTCTTGATAATTAGCCTCCACACTACCACTAGAAATAAAAGCACACTGGTTGTAGTTAACAGAAGAGTTTGTAAGGATTGTGAGATACAGATGATGACCAGAGGCTTCTACAGAAAGTCTTAAATTTCACAGCGACCACACATGCAGTACTATTACTTCTATGTGTTTTATACAGTAGCACACAGTGTGAAGAATATGAGTAATGTATATTCTATTAGTACCTTTCCAAAATGGTATTGCATACTGGCATTTTGATTCATTGAAACTGAAAGAGGAAAACTGACATTCATAAGCAAGAAACTAGATTGTCAGGTGAATTAAGCAATTGTCCAGATGCTCTCATCAGTGAGCAGTTTCACACTAGTGCATGCATACGTACTTGAAAAGCTGATGAGGTACTTCACAGTGTGAGTAACGCAGGGGGGGGAAAAAACTGGATTGTCAGTTGACTTTACACAAACAATCATTTGCAGAATAAGATGTATTTATTCAGTTCTGTTACACAGTCTGACACAACTATCTGCAGGCTCATGTCTATTTTCTAGATAAAACCATCAACAGTCACCACTGTGCCAGAAACAGTCTGCTCCACCTGCTGATGAGCTTTAAGCACACATAATTAAAAACACACTAAAATAGGTGTTTCAACATACAACGCTCTCAGGTTCGAAAAGCCATGGCATCATCAGCTTCAGTATGCTGACGGGAAACATGCTTCAGATTTAGCATTTAAAACTCGTAGCCAACAGCAGGTATTATTATTCCTGCAAGACACTGAAACAACGGAACCCAATACAAACTGAATGACAATTAAGTTAGCTAGTTTCTCAACCTGACATTCAATTTCCTGAGCTGAGTCTGGGATACCAACTATGCCTTCCCACCGTGCAGAGACCTTTTTCCTCTCTTAACAATTCTTGTCCTCAGAGTGAAAATCCTGTTGGATGGGTCCTGATGGCGAGGTCCAAAGCTTGTTTCCCTCAGGGCCAAGGTTACACTGGTTTCCCCAGCTCCGGCCTTCCAAGATCAGTCCTCCTCTGAGGAGAGCTGGGCTCCTTCATCGTGAACCTCTCTGTAGGCAGCCATGGGGCCACGGTCAGGAGTGTAGCTCCCCATAGAGAGCTTCAATCCCTCAGACAGTTTCTGGGCTGCCAGCTTGGCCTGCAACTCCTGAAATTAAACACAACACAGAGAAAAAGTTGACATGAATAGGCTGGTAAACAGAAAACAAGCACATTATTATAAAGCAGCAGAGCCATAGCTATTAAACCCTCAACAAAAGCAGGACTGATAATAAGCTTAACAGGCCTCCGTAAGTTGACAACAGCACACTGTTTGACGTTTGGCTCATTACTTTGGATGTGAAGTGATACACAGCGCCTACACTGCCTGAACGCTGCCCTCTGGAGCTGATGAAGTGATCTGACATGGACTTTGTACATTTCATGAAACTAAATACTGCCAAATAACAAAAATAGTTAGTTAGTTAGTTAGTTAGTTAATTAGTTGTAATAATATTGACAGAAACAGAGAGTTGCTATTTTCATTGATACACATTATTATTGTGATTGGAATAATTTTCCACAGCTCAGTACACAATGTACAACAATAATTGTTTTGTTGTAGAGGACTTGAAAATAATACTTTTCACTGGTCAAATAGCCTGCTGCTGTCCTGTCATCTCATATAAAGAATAAATAAACATATACCTTTGCAGCGTTCAGAACAACACTTACAGTGTGAAAAATTGCCAGTCCAGGAGCGCCGACACAGGGAACGCAAACAAAAAAAATGCAGGTCATCCGGCAAGTTAGTTGAACCACCTCAATTATTGCTAGACCAAAATGTAACGTCATCCAGCAAGGCACTGTAGTGGCCAATCAAATTCATGCATGCTCACATGATGCCGGTAAAACCACTGTGAGTAACAGAGCAGTAACCTTCTCATAATATAAAACATTGTGCAGTGTTCTGCTGTTTGGTAAGATCTGATAACACATATATATCTCAAGCTGAATTTCCTGGATCTGAAATTCACATATCACTGTTACCTGAAGTAACATATCCGCACCAATGCAGCCTTTTGGAATTTTTTAAACAAAGCTGTTATGGATTTGAATGCCAGTCAAATGTTTGTAATTCATCATGGCTGACTGTAACCAAGGCATTTAATCCCCGATACCTCAACATGTTCCCACCCAGCATGGTAAGGAACCCCATTAATTTATTCAAGTAAGTAGACCTTTCTGACCCTTTGTCAATCTGTCTACATTTTAATGTAAACACTGTATGTAGAGGATAAGTGGGTGGAAGACTCGGCTGCACTTACGTGCTGCTTCTTGGTTTGCTCCTCCAGGAGGACGGCCGACTCTTCCAGAGATAGAAGCTGGGCCGGATTGTGGTGAAGAGGAGGGAGTCTGGCTGCTGTGATGTCATCCAGGTGTTTTCTGTCCCTCTCCTTCCTGGTCTGTGCAGAGAGCGGTGATGAGCCTTCAGAAGACTGGCTGGGTGATGAGGATCCTGATAGAGGGGTGTCATTTCGGTGGGGCAGCCTGGAAACACAGTTGTTTTATTTTATATTCAATTAACTGATAATAACTATGTAAGAAAGCAAAATGACACACAATGTTTCTGAATTAAGTGATTTTTTTTTGTTATAAATGTTTACAAAAGTAACCATCAATTCGTCAGACAAAGTCTACTCACTGATTTGGTTTGAATTTTTGCTTCCTGGGAGTGCTCTCAGTTTCTTCCAGGACAGTTACATAGTGAGGCTGTTTTCGTATCTGCTTTCTGAGAAAGTAGTTGTCTCTTGCTGTGCTGTTAAATGAATCTTTGGACTCGCTACTGAAACCAGCACTAGTTTCAGACAGTCTGACCCTTTCCAAGGCCTCCACAAGGTCAGTCTCTTTTATCTCATCACAGTTCAGAGAGGCCCCAGCAGCGGCCGTCTCCATGGTTTCACCAGCAGCCGTTTTGGAGACAAACGGGTCCTGTTCCTTGTCCAAAGTGTTGTTTTCCTGCACATCAGCTGAGACAGGTGAGGTGTCCTGCATTGCATTGTCTGCAGCAGCCTCATTTTGCATGTTTTGGTGTGGGGCTGCTGGTGTGTTGATAGCACATCGTTGCATAGTGAAGGCCTGCTGGTACTTTGATTGTAACTCTGTCCTGGCAGCAAACACCAAGCTCTGTCTCCTCTCCTCTTCATCTTTGTGCTCGATGGCAAGGCGCACTTTCTCTGTAAATTCTTTTATCTTTTTCCCTTTGTCAGGAAGAGTCTGTAACAACCTCCTGTGAACAACACAAACCCATCATTTCGTGCTCTACTCAAAATAATTCAAGATACACATTGGAGACATTAAATGCATAAACTTACATAAAATGTCTTAGTAGGTATACAAATAGATTTTCCAAGTCTTTTGAACTATACGGGAGGGAGGAACACCATTCTTCCAAAGGTTTCTCTCAAATTCACAGTTTTGATTATGCTGTTCAGTTAGGTTGAGATCTTGTGACCGGGAAGCCCATAGCATTTGATTCGCATCATATTCATATTCCTGAAACCATTCACAGTGTATGAAACAATCTGCAATTGTTACGTTTCTCCCTTCATTTATTCAGCTTTTTTCTATTTCACCCATCTGTTTTTTTGGCTTAAATTGTTTCACATATTATATGGATGGAGGTTATATCTATCAGATCTAATGGTGCCATACAGGTTAACAATAATAGTTGTGCAGAACTAGTTTGACCACAGCCTGTTCTTTCTATTGTACAACATTACGCTTGACATGCTTGACGTATTAGTCACATCTGAAACTTGCTTGGATGCTGACCTTGGATGTTGGATCTATGTATGCATTTTTATTGGTAAAATAAATACTGCAATTTACCATTCACAGTGTATTTATGTATTAGTTATGCCTTCTATTTTCGACACTCTTGTAGTTCTTAACAGATGATTTGTCCATTTGTAGATCTGTAAAACTTCAGATACATATTGTACCCAAACATCCTGACAGTGTAATAGCTTAACAACTCATTACAATTAATCAAACTTATGTGCACTCAAGTCTTTTCTTGGTCAGAGGTACTTTGATTTTTGTACCACGCCAGAAAGTGTCACACGAGTCACAACTTAGCCCCAGTTTGTGCCTGTCACGTATCATAGATATACACAAGAGAGGCAAAAACTGTGGTTAATATTGTGAACTTAACTTACTTGTTAGAAAGTATCTTTTCCTGTCTCTGGAGCAGTTCTTGGAGCTCTTCTTTTCTTTGGACTCTCAGGTCTCCCACCTCTCCCTGGCGCTCTGTCCGCGACGAGGACATCCCTGTTAGCTAGTGACAGCTAGCTACAGCCATTCACAAACAGCGCGAACTAACGTCTCAGTTTAACATTGTGTTTACAAACTCTAATCATACGCTAACCAGCTCAACAAGTTAACTGACTCTATTATGGTTAGAGAGATTTAGAAACCTTTAAAGGCTGCAGGTTTACTTCTTCAACACATGAGACAACAACATTTCAAAGTGGGATCTTTCTTCTTCTTGTGCGGAAATCAGACATATGAGGTGTAGCTCTGCCGCCCCCAGTGTACAGGACAGGGTAATGCAGTTCTTCTTCACGTCACAGCCAGTGGAGGTGATTTGCTGCCCTCTGCAGGTCACATGCAGTCATCAAGCGTTGTCCGTGAACTTCTGACGTTGTGCAAAAGAGATATTTCTTTCTTCTCTGTAATCAGTGCAGTCTGTCTGAACAGGCTCAGACTTTCCATCGCTGCATGTCCCGTCCGGATGTTTCCCAGCCACCATGCCAACCCATTTCTCACTCAGCTCCACGAACAATGACCCAACTTCAACCAAGGTTACAGCTGTGTCCTTCCTGTCCCCTCTCAGAGTTCAAAGTCAGTTTAATTTTTGGCTGTAGCTGTGCAGTTGGAAAAAAAATCTCAGTACACTCTATCTCTCTTTCACTTCTTTGGTGCATGCATTTGGCATTTATTTAAGTCAGATCACACCAGATAGTGTAAAGCATGGCTTTCACTGACTGCACACTTTAGGTTTTGTTCTCCTTTTCCTGATCCTAATTCTGCCAAATGTCTGATTTTATCCCTTTGTTTTAATGTACTACACACCGTTTTGTAGCTTTTTGTGAATCTTCACATTTTCTTGCAACATCACTGATACCAAGAATGTCTAACACCATGTCTTGCCTCTGAATTAGTGTATCGTCACTGCACAACATTTAGAAATAACAAAAACAAACACTATTTTGTCTATTAAAATACCACCTGTTACCGAGCAACTACAAATTTGCATTGTGAGGCCTGTGTACATTATATTACTGTTATGCAATAAACAACAAGCCTGCATGTCCACCATGCATATTATACAGAAGACAGTTCCTCAAAATATGGTCACTGAGCTTTTGCATATCTAGACAAAGTTCAAGTATCTGGAGTTCAGTGTTCATGACGTTTGTGTAAAAGTGTGAAATGGAATCATAATAAGGAAGGAAAGTAAACAAATCATTTTAAAAGCCCTTTTTGTGTTTTTTACCAGCTATGATAAAATGGTCACATCAGTGAACAAGTAGTCATATAGGCTTCAGACTTTAGGTAATGAAGGTCATACAGTATGTAAATGTGGGCATCCATTAATACAGTCTGGTTAAATATATAGCAAAGTCTTTATTATCTGAACATACACTGTCCTCTCATCATTAGTTGCAGTATGATATGTATCATTAAGGTAAAGGCACATCATAAAGCTTTTTCAAACACAGTTATGGCAGTGCAGACAACAGCTGGATAATACTTGTGCCTGTGGCTCAGGAATGGCAGTCACCTCAATAAGGTCAGTATCTTTAAAGTGATTTAACAGTTTTATAATTAACACAGAAAATTACTTTATATTATATAATGACATTACCCTGTTGCCAATTTAAAGAGATTCATTCCCACCACCAGTATCAGATAGCAAGCTGTTCACAAAGGCACAAAGCATGTTAATAAATAGTTTTCTTTACATAATGGGACAATAGCAAAATAATATTCATTGAATTTGTACAGAGTCAATATAAAATAATAGGAAAATACACACAATAACTGATAAACCTTCATAGGACTGGATGCTCATAGCTCCATGAGTAACATAAGTGGGCTACATTTAGGCCTACTGTAAACAAAAAAACAACAAGATCTTAAATCCTTCAGTACATTATTTACAGAATATTTTTACAGAGCATCAGATTATTTACACCCTACAGCAAACATTTTGTTATTACTACCAGTGCTCTGTGCAAACATAGGCTGACAACCTACATAACACTTTTTTACATCATCAACCAGAATCATGTTGTTTGTCTTATTTTTTTGACTGTTTAAAACGGGGATCTTACATATGGTTATTTTTAAAAAGATAATCAGCAGTGAAAATAACACCAAAGACAGAAACTTCGTACACAAGTAATTATGCTTAGAGAGGATATGTGTGGTAAATACTAACTAAAGAAACTAAACTAAAGAATGCTTTTTTGTTTTCTAGCAGATAGTCAGATGAGAAAACTGATTCTCATGTCTGTCCTCTAAATATGTAGTTCCAGCCAGCTTAAACTAGAACTGGGGGAAACAGCTAGCCTAGCTCACCCCACAGGTAACAAAATCCTCCTACCAGCTGCTGAAAGCTGCACTAATTAAGACATATCATGTTTGTTTGATGTGTAAAAATGAAGTGTATAAACAACAATTCGCCATTTTACAGGGGATTATGTACCAGACTTTGGCTGTGACCAGTTGTCCAGGAAGTTACTGCTCTCCAGCAAGAAAAAGGCACAACTCACCATAAAACAGCAAACTGTTGTTTTTACACTTTGGGTTTTTTATACAAATTCAACACATAATATATAACATGTTAATTTGTGAGTTTTAGAGTTAGCCTGCAGGTTAATTGTTTCCCTTTGTTTTCAGTCTTTATGCTATGCTAAGCTAAGCTAACCATCTGCAGAATGTAAAACTAGAGTGGTACTGAACACCCCATCAAACTGTTGACAAGAACCTGTATTTCCCAAAATGTCAAACTATTACTTTAAGATCTCTCTATGTTTATCTTTGCTGTTACTTCCATGAGTTTCATGAAAGGTGTACAAACTTGCGGGGCTCTTGATCTTGGTTGAGAAGAGGACAGGGATGAAGTGGATTCCTCTGTACTTGATCGTGTGTTTGTTTCTGCATCCACCTCATCTCTGCCGGACCGGTCTGCAGGCTCCGATTCAGACGGATGGGTATAGGGGAATGTCCCGCTCGGTAAGGGGCTGGACTGCAGGAAGCGGGTGTACTGGATAGGAGTGTACCTCAGTAAACTGGACTCCAGCCTGCTGGGTGGAAGGTTATTAGAATGGAACGTCCTTGGTTGGGTGGGTCTTGTTAGGTAGAGGAATGGATGTTGACTGGGAGGGGATGGAGGTTGTGTGGGTGATGGAGGCTCAGTGGGTGATGGAGGCTCAGTGGGTGATGGAGGTTCAGTGGGAGATGGTGGTTCAGTGGGAGATGGAAGTTCAGTGGGAGATGTAGGTTCAGTGATTGGTGGAAGTTTCAGTGGTGATGGAGGATGAGAAGGTGGCAGATGTTGTATGGGATGGCGATGAGTTGGTTCACGTTGAACAGGAGGTTCAACATCATGCCTCTGTGCTTCATGTCTGCAGATGCACAGTCAGACATCAGAGTGAGAAACCCCCTCCAAAGGAAGCACCAAATATAACTTGATGGTACTAAACATGTTTCTCCCACTTTCCTTCTTACCTGTGGAGCAGATCACAGCCTACTCCTATCTCCCTGATTTCCAGAAATTCTCTCGGCCTATTCTGTGTGGACATAAAATACTTCAGCTTGTCGTCTAATTCATTATTCTGGGAAAAGGAAAAGAGGAAACAACACCGTCAGGTCACATGCAAAGGACTGCAGTCACTTTACATGTGGAAGCCGCTTGATAGGTGCAGTGACCAGTGGTGGACAAAGTATTTTACTTAAGTAAAAGTACTAATACCATACTGTAAAAGTACTCTGTTACAAGTAAAAGTTCTGCATTGAAAATGATACTTAAGACTTAAAGTATGTGAGTATATTTAGAAAAATGTACTTAAAGTATTATAAGTAAAAGTATAATGCAGAAAAATGTACCCTATGACTGTTATACTAGTTTATATTATATCATGAGATTATTATACATAGATTATTATTACTCATGCATTCATGTAAAAGCAGGATTTTACTATTGAAGTTGGTTGAGGTTGAGCTCATTTTGAACTGTTGGTATCGGACTGCAACTAATAATTATTTTTATTATGAATTCATTTGCTCAACAGTGAGAAATGCCGTCGTAATTACCTAGAGCCCTAAGTGACACCTTCATAATGCTTGTTTTGTCTGACCAACAGTCCAAACCTCAACATTATTAACACCACATTCAAATGATTGAAATAATTAATTTGTGAAGCTGGAATCATGAAATGTTTTTGCATTAAAATTGAATAAAATGATGAAAATTGTTGCCAATTACTTTTATGTCAACCGACTACTTCTTTCAGCTGTAATTGTGTAAACAGTTGGGTAGTTAAACTCTTCATATGTTTTCAGATAAATATAAGCTGTCAGATAAATGTAGTGAAGTACAATATTTCCCTTTGAGATGTAGTGGAGCAGAAGTAGAAAGGGTTATGAAAAGAAAATACTCAAGTAATGTACAGGTACTTCAAATTTGTACTTAAGTACAGTACTTGAGTAAATGTACTTAGTTACTGTCCACCACTGGCAGTGACACGAGGAAACCACACAGACATTGCTAAAAGTGTAAGATAACCAGAACTAAGCAGCCCAGGCAATAACCATGCAGTAGTTTACCACACCACACCAAAATTAAAACGCGCAGTAAACACACCGGGAAGTATTTGACTTACCTCGCACTCCACTATTGCAATTCTGTCCAGAAGCTCCGAGATGAACATATCCTTCTGAGCGACTTGAGCTCGCAGTGATTCAACCTTCACAAAGTGAAAGAAAACGACATTTTGCAACGTTTCAAGAATCATTCTGCGAAACATGATGGATACTGAACATAAGGAATAACTTTTCCGGAAAACCAGAATGAGTTATGAACTCAGAAGAGGCCAGTTAAGACTCTAATAATGCACTTTAATCATTAAACCCTTCATCTTTAGAATGTGAGTATGTTAACCACTTGTGGAGTATTTTAACCACTCTGCCACCACAACACCCCACCCCATGAAGATTTCTCATGTGCACTGAACTCATCTGTACTCTGTATGATTAAACACACTTCTACTACTTCAGCCGGCATATGTATCTAACCCACACCCATTCTCAAAACACAAGTACAACAGATGACCTGAATGCATGTGACCGGACAGTATTTACACATGAATAAACACTACTCACCTCCTCAATCATTCCTTTGACTTTCCTCTGCTGGCAGAACACCATGTCGTTCAAGTGTTTGATCCTCTCACGGAGATCCACAGTTTGAGATTGCAGCTCTTTGGACCTAAACATGAACAGCAACCAGTTAAACCCACATATAAATCCATCTTCTTGCATTTTCTAGACATTTGCAGCCTGGTCAGGTGCTTCTCAGATTTGCAGCCTAAATTGCTTCAACGCTGCCATGACTTCAATATTCCAAAGCTTTCTGCTTGTTCAGCTGACAATAAACTTAAACATCTTCATATGCAACTCCATGACCACCTAGTAAACTACAACTGCTGATAAAGGCTATGTGACACAGTTAAAAGTTCAGAAAAAAAGCCAGTAAGTGGACCTTGAGCTGGGATTGCTTTGTCATACCAGTGTTTGTTTATGTGGACTCCCTTTTTGTACCTTTTGGCTACAGTTGCATCAGTTTGGTCTGTCTGCGCCATCATGTGGAGACGCTGTTCACTGTCCTGCAGCTTCTTTTGGAGTTGACTCTTTTCCTGTAAAAAATCTTTTCATTATAAGGTTTATTATCAGCAAAAAAATGCAGTTTGCTAGATTTTTATGTTAAACTTTTCCTGACCTTGTCCATACAGTCCAGTAGACGCTCCACTTCAATAATCCTCTGGTCCCGTTCAGCAATCTTGGCCTCGGCAATCCTGATGTTACTCTCTGCTTCCTCTAGTCGCCTGATGTACTCATCGAGTTGGGCCTGTGAGAACAGAAATACATTTCGGTTTAAATGCTGGACTGCTTTTAAAACGGCTCATCAAGTTATCAATAATGTAGTAAATGATCGTCATTTTCTATTCAATCAGCATTTTCATTTTAATCTAATGGAACTTCCCAACCAAGGACACTCTGCATCATTATCTTTTTGAAGTGTGTCAAAACCAAAAGCATTTGAGACATCTTGAGTAATCATCACACATCTCTCCTGTTCTTGTGACAGACACGTTTTGGTTTCTACTAGCATTGAAACTATATGTGATGTGCCATGGAGAAACCTATTGAATAAGCAATAAAGAATGCAGACCTGTAGGTTTTCAATCTCCTCCCTGTGTTTCCGTTGTTCCTCTAGCAACTTTTCCTCGTACTCCTGTTGCAGCTTTGCAGAGAGCTCCTGCAGCGCTTGAGTGTTGGCCTCCCGAGAAGACTCCACCTGGACAATTCACAGTGCAGCAGAAATTAAGACTGTGCAAACTTGATTATTCCATATTGGTACAAGAATAGAAAATGCAGCTGATGTGTAGTTGTACTGCAGTGAGACGATCTGCTGGATCGAAGCACACTGCGGCATCTTCTATTTTTCATATGTCGTAAGTCTTTAAAATTGGTGCTATTTCCTCTCTAATGGAGAGCAACTGTTTTTTGTTTGGTCAGCACACAGATTGGAACCATTGATGACTTCTCAGAATTTAGGGACTATTATAATGATCAGTTAAATTTTATTTTTATCTTTTAATTTTACTCTGACCGACTGCAGAAAATATAGAAACTGCAGAGATGGAAAAGTGGTATCAGGTAGATAATAATATTTTCTACATGTGAAGCATTCACATATTTCTCCTATAGGTCCTCTCCACCATTCCGCAACAGGTCATCTGAGCACCTACTTGTCACACCTGCTGCGTGACCAGTATCTCAATGAACTTGTGGATGCATAAGGGTTTGTGTGAACACAAAGACATATGTGTACCTGTAGCCTCAAAGTCTGGTTTTCAGCCTGTGCGGCAGCCAGTTCCCTCTCCTTGTCTCTGAGTTTTTCTTGTGTTTTCTCACAGGTGCTCCGCAAACTCTTCAACTCATCTCTCCTGTCCATTCTGTTCTGACAGTTCTCCAGGAGGGATTTCTGCAAAGGAAACTTCTTTTACTTGTCAAGCCAAGCTTTTTCTGCGATGGCATGCAGCTGTCATGGAGCAGGTCTTCACAGGTTCAGTGACATTGATTTCTTACCTGCAGGCTGATGTTAGCAGATATAAGGGAGCTGTTCATCTGATCGAAGCTCTCCATGGCTGACGTCCGGATCTTCACCTCCGACTCCAGACTCCTCCGATTTGAATTGGCAGCCTGCAGACACACATGGTACACTGTATTTTCAGATTTATTTGAGGCTTCACAGACTCGAGTTTGATGAGGGAGTTCTGAGCAGTGACAAGCTGATACATAATTCATTACCCTGATTTCCTGTGAAAGCTTCTGCATTGATTGCTGCATTCCTCCAAACTGCCCGTACATACGCTCTCTCACCTTTTCCAAAGAATCTCTCACCTGCGTACAGATACACAGAACATACAGATATTATCAACCCAACATCCAACAAAGCCTTGCATATATGATAGGATGTTAAAACAATGATGTGTTGACCAGAAAGCCTGACTGCTTGTTGTGTTAGTTTCCACTCACCTCCTTGATGTACTTCATCTCATCCTGAAGGTGATTGACCGTCCACTCACGTGCCATCACCTCCTGCTGTCTGTCCGAGCTCGTCCTCTGCACAACGCCGTACACTTTGGGCCCATGTTGCTGCAGCGAGGTCTCTGGCGCCCCATTGGTCATGTCTCTGGGGTGCTGAGGGAGACAGGATCGCACCGGTCAGGTTTCTGTAGCCACCCACTGAGGCTGACTCATTGTGTTTGTGTAGTCGTGTGCTTGCTTGTATGCACACACTTGCAGGTGCATCACATGTGTTTGTGTGTTTGGTGTGTGGATGCAAATGCCTGCATATGTATACTTGACTAGGTATTTCCAGCAGCACTGCTGCTGAGCACTGGAAACAGGAGGCTGGGAAACGAACAGCTAAGAAAAGTGCAGGGTGTATTGCAGGTGTCATGTTTCTGCAACCTAGTACATGAGCTGCTGCCGTTTCTGCCTATTGTACCTCTAGCAGACGGGCGCCCAGTGAAAAGAGATGCACACCAGCAGAGAAGTGCAGCACTACAAACAATGCAATTACTAAATAACAAATGACAATTAAAGTCATGGGCACAGATAAATTACAGGTGCTTACTGGTGCTTGGAATCAAATTCCAATAAATATTTCAGTACTGTAGTACAAGAGGTAAATGTTTTGTTGGAAATTAGAAAGACATAATTTGCAACTAATGCTTATTTTCATTATTGATAAACCTGTACATAGATAGATAAATAGATAGATAGATGGATAGACTTGAGACATGAAATTTGTTACTGTCATGTACAAGCATCATGTTCATGTTGAATATTCATGATTAATGACAGCCCGAAGGTGCATGCACAGAAACACATGCTGAAGCAGTGGCAGTGTATGTATCGCAGTGTCATGCCTATTACTCATGGTGGATGTGGCTATCTACCTGATGAGGTGACTCCCTGCCAGCTGGCCTCTCTCTTTGGATCAGCCCATTCTTCTTCTTCCATGCCCCATTGACATCCTTCTCTTTCTCAGCCTACAGAAAAAGAAAAAATATTCAAGATTGATGTTGCGAAGGATTCACTACTTTCCAGGTGTGGACACTGGAAAGTTCGAAAATGTTCAAAACAAGTGTTATTTACAGAAGCCCTGAGGGGCAAGTGAGAGAAAGAAAAATTCTGGTGGTTAATTTTCTGATTCTGATTTAAATTGTTTTCTCTCCTGTGTTTATGACTTGAAGTTTCCATGAAACTGAAAGCAGAGTGCTATTTGATTCCGCATTTTTCCTGTAAAATAGAGGCTAGGTAATGACTTCGCAGATAGTGATTGGTGTTTACAGTAGCCATTAGCGCTGAACGTGTGTGGCATCATAAAAACTGAGCAAGCGTCATCAACATTTTCTATCGTTAAGAATACCTACAAAATGACTGTTTGGTCATTGTTTGGCCACATACTGGTACATAAGTGACATATAGTGCAGGATTATAAAAAAAACACTTTCATTGGGGAGGATGATTTATTTTTTGTAATATTCAAGCGCAGCACTACTCCATATTGTAAATTGGACTGAAAGCATTAATGTATCCTTCCAGGTGAAGTGCAAATTAAAGTATTTTTTTGGCCAAAAGCAAGACATGTGGTGGCAGCCCGGCTGACGGTGAGTGTCCTGGTTTTTTCTCCTTTTCATCAGTTATTCCGCTTTTTCCTTGGTTTTCTCTGTTCCCTGCCTGCCTCCCTGTGTCTCCTCCCCTGTGTGTGCTCTCTCTCTCTCCCTCCGCTCCTGAGCCCAGCCTACAACCTGCACCTGCACCTCATCAGCCACCTCGTCAGCCTGCCACACCTGCCAGTAGTCAACTCATTCCTCCACGGTGTCCTCCCTGTTCTTCCTCACCTGTTTGCTTCCTCGGCCCCAGTGTTCCCCGGCCCTCTGGTCCTAGTCTCCTCGGTTCCCCGTGCCTGTGTTTCCCCAGCATCCACCTCTCCCTCGACTCCAGTCCCTCACCCCCTTTTCCCAATAAAACCTGTCAAGCTGAACGTTGCATTTTGGTCCACTCTGTCCCCACACCACACATAACAGACATGACAGTAACTTGGTAACATACAATATACTATATGTACCTTGTGTTTAGAGTTCATCAAAACTCACCTGGAAAAGTTTAAGGAACTTATAAGGATTATCCTGGCAAAACCTTATTTTCGCCTGTTCAAATAACAATTTAGATCAGATTTAGAAAAAGGATCACCAGATTTTTCCCCCCACTTGCCACTCAGGGCTTCCTTCCTCAGGGCTTCCTTAGAATTAGTCTAGAGCCCTGAGCCTTCATATTTTTGTGTTTAGTTTTAGATCATTTAACAATGACATGTTGACTTTAATATTGTGGTGGATCACCACCTGTTATAATAACTATAATTTAAAAAGCTATTCATTAAAATAAATAAATTGCTTTAATTGTCTTTTCCACCAGGTACAGACAGACTCAAACTAAACATTCAGTCAGAGAAAGAGGCATCTGTCTCAACATCTTGCAGAGATAATAGTGAGGAGGAACTAGAACAAAGATGCCAGTGTTGTTTTGTGGATGGGGATGAACCTTACATTTCTCCACCACTTAATCTACGGAGGACATGCTGTTGCGAAATGGCCAGCTAATAGGTGGATGTGAATTCCAGCAGGTGGGAGGGAGGAACAGCCATCTTTATGTTTTAACAACATCAGCAGCCTCCTTCTCTGAAAGCTCAGAACAACAATGTTCTATGTGCTTTGAATTTTACAATGCCAGTGTTTGACCACACCGGCGGACAATGTTTACCTGCTTCTTGTAGCTGAAACTGCAGACATGTAAGTTTTGTTGGGAGAAGCACACAGGGTTTCCTATGTTTTGTTACCTTGAGGAGTATGACCTCCTCACCGACTGCCTGAATTAATGTAAACATGTAAAAATGACTTAAAGACACCCTTTTGAAAGAACTATGTGTCAGTACATTGTCAAACATTTTACTATGTAATTTGTTTCTTGCACACAGACTAACTGCTTTATCATATGACTGCATTGAGGCAACATGAAAGTCGTGCTGAAGGTCACAACACAAAGACCCTCTCATGCAGCTCACCGGGCTGAATCATGTTCACTTTGAAGAGACTTTAAGCCATTGTGGAGATGAAATCCAATGATGCAGGTGGAGGAACTTCTATATGTAGCAAATGTGTCATTTGTGTGTCATGGTGCAGATGTATTACTTCTCATCTAGGCCATAGTGACTGGCTGGATTGTGTCCTTGATGTGTCAGGTTGCACGATACACCCTTTTTTCAAATAGTATGTCAAATAACCACTTTTACCAGCGTTCCTACTGAAACAAAACACCTCTGGATATCTGTCTATCATTTCCTGCCTCCCTTACATTTAACATTCACTACAGATTACATCTCTGATAAAAGATCGGGGAACTTCAGAGGAAATTTGTTAATGCACATTCGCTAAAAAAAAGAACATGGATGCTCCATGTCTACACAAGCGTAATAAAAAGCCTGCTCAACACTGTGTCACATGTGAACACTGTGCTGGTTGATGCAACAACAAAAGAGTTATGTATCATGGCAGTGCTTGCACAGAGCTCTGAACTCAACGCTGAATACATAATGAGTAGCCTCTTGCACCCTGAAATTCCCCTTCAGTTTACCCTGAAGTGGCTTAAAAGTTGTGTTTTTCACATTGTACTACAGTTTCACATGCAAATCATTTATCCGCTTGTGTTAACATTTACATGAGCTTATATTGAGTGAACATTTTGAGTACATATTCAGGTCTGCACCATTACATTTAATTAGAAACCGGTGTTATACTGTACATCACTTCATTCATATTTTCATGTGATTCTGCCTGACATATTATGCGACTTTGGAAACTTTTGGATAGCTCATAGCAATAGTTGATGCCACTCTCCTGTTTGTAGGTTAAATGTGAATCTACAGCCAGTTAGCTTAATTTAGCTGAAAGAGGAGGAAACAGCCTGGCTCTGTCCAAAGGCAACAAAATCCGCCTACAAGCAACTCTAAAGTTCATTAATTACACGTAGTTCCTGGCCATAAAACAACAAATTATAAAAAAATTATAACATGTTAATTAGTAAACTTCAGAAGTGCTGGCTGGTGGATTTCCAGTCTTTGTGCTAAGCTAAGTTAACCACCTGCTGGGTGTGGCATTATTCCTCTGATGTTATTTCTTACTATTCTGTTTTCATTTTTGATGTAGGCTACCTTTTTTATTTTCTCTCTACATTTCCTCTCACTGTTTTCGTTACACTTCAGGCAGTTGGTTGTCTGTAAAAACCAGTCCAGGGATAGTGAGCTGCACAGTTGCAGTGGTGCAGAGTTGCGTCATCACTGAACACACACTGGAGTACACGTCATCACCAAGCACGTGTGTTGCTCTCTATTTTGTGTTCACTCTTGACCAGACTGTCCTATGTAATCAGTTCCAATAGTCTGAGAAGCACATTCAGAGATTATGGCAGCGTGCTATCAGTGGGGTGTGTGGAGGTGTGGTGACTAGATGAACCACACACCTTGGCCAAGGTTCACGAAAAACATACTACCAAGGATTCTGCACTTTGAGCACATTTAAAATAACTTAACAACCTTCTCAGTGCCAACAACTAGAAAAAGCACACTCAGTTCTCACACTCTCACTGTCAAAGTCTGGCATCAGGCTCTGGGCAACATATCCTGAACACAAACAAAGGCAGGGGCAGAGCCACCTACAGCAAACACCTACACAGCCTGCAGCATGTACTCATAATTCACACAGTCACAATGTGCACTAACGAACATGGATACTGTACAGAGTGTAATTCTGCATGGCAATAAGCAAATCCCATTTTTTATGAGCTATGTTTGTTCAGTAACCAGTGTTTGAGTCACTGCTGTTTCAACTAAGCTGTCAGGTGTGTCTTGGGTGTCTCAGGTGTCTAGGTTACATATTAAATATATCGTCTGTTCAGCAAAAGTATTTTAAATATTTTCTATTATGTGGAAGAGATTTTGAGTACAGAGATGAAGTTGAGCTTTGAAGTAAATCTGAAACAGCTGTGTGTGCATTATCACCGGCACACACCCTTCTGCCACGATTGTGTAACTAGTCCTGATGATAAAAAACACATAAATCTCAGTTGCTTCATCCATCTTTCTTTCTAAGTCTTTGTATCTTGTGATGAATTCATGTTGTATTTTGGGGGCTTATCATTCTCCTACATCTCTGTTTTTGAAAGTGCCTTGGTGTGTGTTGCTGTACATTTGAAGCTAGAAAGAGACACACGCAAACTCAGTTGAGTCAAATCCAGTTCAACAAGATGGAATTAAAGGTTTAATTTAACTCTATTCATTAAACCTTTACCTATCTAAGTAGCGCTGTCAAGGAAGACTTATAGGCCGGATGTAGCATGGTCAATTGTACAATTTCAGTGAGGGAGATATACGACTTACTGTGTCTGAGTTTGCAGTTTGCTGCTCCTTGTTTCCATGATCTCCTGCATGTAGAGTTAACCTGAGACGTCTGATCCTCCTCTGAGAAAAACAAAGAGACAAAAAGCAAATAAGTCATATTCTGCACGCAAATTCATTTTTGCATTATTTCATCACAAGAAAAGATGATTAATTTGTTAAAACACCACTGAGACAAATCTCACAGACTTCCACAGTCCACCACCATCGGTTTATTTATAGACAATGGCAACAGATCCAGAAACAAAGTTTATGTATATGCTACAGATACATCTGTCTTAATATTTACACCACAGTGAGGCTTTGTTTGGTGGTGCAACAAACATTTTCTACAATTAGATATTTTTATTTCAAGATATTAATCCAAAGGAATACTGCAGTTATGAACTCACAGTCAATTTACCAAATTGTAATAGGTTCTTTCTTTATTAGAGAACAGTGGAAAAAAGTTTAAAGGCCGGTTCAGTACACAGGCCTGTTTTATCAGAGAGCTGTTCAAATAAACATGACAGCCCTGCCTCATACACACTGCTCCCATTACATGCTCTTGTAAGTGAACACATCCTATAACAAACATGAACTTTCAGATGATCAGGGGACAGAAAATGTTTGCTGGGACTGAGAACATTTATCTCACTGTATACAGACAAGAAGAAAGTGTCTGCGGGGTTAAAAGCAACAAGGGACAAACAGAAGAGGGAGGAAGAAAAAAACACTGGACTGTTTGCAAAACACAGAGAAGAAGGGGAAAAGAAAATGGGGGAGACAGAGTCAGTGTCCTGACTTCTCTGGGAGTTCTTACCTCACTTGAAGACTCTGGAGAGTCCTCTGTTGTGGTGATGGTGGAAACAGTTCGTCCTGAACCGTAGCGAAGCATGATTCCTCTTCTGTCTACTCCTCGCTTGTCTTCCTCTCCCTCTCCGAACCTCCTCCCACCCTTCCTCTCACTCTCCTTCCTGAGTTCTGCTTAAACTCTCGGAGCGACCATCTGCCCCCGGCTCCAGCCAGGGAAGAGGAGGGGAAATTCCACTCTGTCAAGTCTGGTGGTGGTGGCGGTGGTGGTGGGAGTCCACAGTGGCCCAAAGGTTTCCTCTCAGTCAGTGAAACGATCAGGTGCTCAGTAACACAAACACAACTATGTCATTATCGTAATTCCAGCAAGACTGCTCCTGAATCCACCTGGCTGACAGGCTTTTTGACTTTCTCTGTGCGTCTCTGTGTTCCCATCAGACCTGTCGGGCCACATTTCTACTGCCACCCTGGTCTGTTCCTCCTGCCCTGAGCGCAGGACTTTCACAGGGCGGGTCCTCTTACTCTGGCTGGGACAGGTGGAGCACTTCTTATCAGGAGTGGCTAATAGGAGGAGCTGGTATTGATCACAGTTTGACAGTATCATCCTGTTATGGCTACACATGCAAAGACCATAACAATCCTCTTATAACTGCTGAATATATTTCTACTACATTACATTGGTCTGTTTTACAGTTTTTATAAGCAATAAAATTATGCTTTGTTTTTTGATTTATTATCAAAAGCTTGGTCAACCACTGTGCAATGGTGGAAAGTACATAAACCCAAGTACTGTCCTTAAATACAAATCTGAAGCACTTCTACTTTACTTGAGTTTTTTTAATTAATCCTACTGTGAGTGAAATTTCAAACATTTCTAAGATTTTACACACAAAACACAAAATCACTTTGTAACTACCAAACATGAAGTAACATTGAGCATAATGAGTACTTTTACTTTTGATATTTTAACTATGTTTTATTGCTAATACTTCTTTTCCTTAAGTAACATTTGGAATTCAAGAGTATTTTTGTTTTGGCCTCACTTGACTCCAACCACTGTAATGACAACAGGAGTATTTACAAACCAAGCGTTATCCATCACCTTGATAACGACCCCACAGAGGTCAAATAACTGGGATTCCCTACCTGTCAGTCGGGACTGAAGAAACCTCTTGGATGAGAGGCGGTTTGTCTTTGAGTATCTTCAACCAAAGCCAATTACCCTTGATTTTAACCCACCTTCAGTGTTTTTGTAGTGCAATGTAATGAAATAAAGGTACAGAAGGTGTCTTGTAGTACATGAGTCACTTTAGCCAATAGATTATTGATATTGTTGACAGCTGATAGTGATGAAAAGGAAGATGACACAGCACACATTACTTTTTAATGTTATTGTGACCTTTTGCCTCACGACTACACCATTATATGGTTTTACACAATGAATTTATGCCCTTCTCTTTATACTTACTCATCCTGTAAAATATTGTCAAGGAACAGACCTGATCACAGTCCTGGTATGAATGGCCTGCAGTCACTCCCTTTTAACAGAAACTAGACACACAGAGTCACAGAGGAATGGAAAATCAAATTTAAAGGCTGAAGTAGCCAAGCAAGACCTTGTTCAGCTCTACAGTATTTTTCAACAAAGGCCTGCTGTTAAGATATAATGTTAAAATATCAGTAAATTTGAAAAGACAATAATTCTGAACAATATAAGAGGCATTTCTACAGGTCTGAGAAGTTAATTAGTAACCAGACATCAAACAAATGGTGTTTCTTTACTTCTGCAATCAGTGAGACAGCCATTCAGCAAGGACTGTGTCCAAATCCAATGTCATGTGGAAATCCATGTGGAAACCCTCTCCCGCAAGCATATCGTGTTCACTTCCTGTTGTGATTGTGCTCTAACTGTTGTGATTAGATCTTGATTCATTGTTGGATTAATTCCACTGTGGCCAGTCTTACAAGAACAACTACATTTACATGGTGTATGTGATTGAAAAAGAACAAAATACTACACCCATTCAATTTGCTCCATAACAAAGCTCCTGTATCTTAACTTAAATCATACCAACAAAAAAAATAAGCAACACGTAGACAGCAACACAAATTGGAGGTACTTGTACTTCAATTTTACTATTTTAAGATTTTACGTACAAAACATATGAATTAAATCTCATTAGAGCTGAAATGATGAGTCCATTAATAAAGACAACATTCTTAAATGTTACTTAATTGACAGTAAACTGAGAAATTGAGGGTTTGGAGTACTGATTGAACAAAACAAGCAGTTTGAAGAGGTGGGCTCTGGGAAATAAACTCAGTGGGTTGATCAGTAATGACATTAGTTGCAGTATAGAAAAGTACAAACTTAGCTCCACCTGTTGCTGCATGCAGGTGTTTTAGTGACTGTCTTGACAGCAAAACACCTTTACAACCGTTGACAAACAAATGTGATCACACTTCACAATGAGGGACTGTTCTCAGAAATGTAAGGCAACCGTAAAAAGGAATTGGCAGTACGGACTTACATGCATTTCCTTTGGGGTTGTTCAGAAATAGAAACATTCTTGTGTATATTCAGAGAGATTTGTTAAATTGTAAGGCTAAATGTTTTTACTTGGTCTTCCATGTAAAGATGGAAGCTTTTAGTCACATAGCTTGAAGCTGCAGCACAAACTTCCTTTCTTTGTACTGTGTACTCTTTAAAGGATAGGCTCACATTTCAAGTCTGTCTTAAAACAATACTAAGCCCTAATCTTAACTATATGTACATTGACAGTGCAATAGTTTCTCTTGCCCTTGCTGGCTTCAAAGACATTTCCTCTTAAAGCAATTTTCTACGTTAGTGGTGGGGGACAGACTCCACACTTGTTTTGTATGAAAATTAATTCTAAAGTTCAGCTGTAGCTAATATGAGGCTTCAGCAGTTGTGGTTACAGTAAAGTTACAGTGTGTTTAGTATACAATTCAAACAGTGTTTCTTTGCTGAGCAGTGGTGGAGGGATAGTAACCCAAAGAGGTAATCTGGTCCTAAAAACACAGATATTTGGAAGATCCCTACTTAATTTGTGTAACTGCTGAAGCCTCAATTTTTGCACAAAATGAGGACTGTAGATTTCCATTCAGTGTACAGAGCCACATTCACAGTGTACAGAGCCACATTCACTGTATTAAGATAGACTTGGAAAAACTGTAAACCTATCCATTACTTTCTACTGTAACACAATGGTTGAGAGAAATGAGAGAATTTCCAATGCGAAGGCTCAATGTCAAAATAAAAGGAAATGACAAGAGCTTCATAGATCTATGACAGCCTCAATCAATCACTTTTCAGTAATCTAAGTGACCTAATCCACAAAGGGGAGGGGGCACATAGGACTGCTTGGCTGCTGATTTTTCAATGTAAGACATATCACAAGTGGATGTGCCCTCACACAATAGCAACTGAGGGATAGTTCCCTCTCTGGTATATCTTGTGTAGCTCAGATCCATAATGATTGATACTGTGATAATGTTGTATTGAACATTGGTGGACATGGTTTGCATTCATCTGCAGTGGGGAGAGGTGGGGGGGGGGGGGGGGGTTCAGGTGAGCAAAGCAGGGAGAGCAAATTGTCACAGCTGCTGTTCATTCACTAATTAATATCTCCCTCTAAATGCAGTAGTGTGCTGGACCTCTGATGTCTGCTGCCTGCCGTGATATGAAGAACAGCCAGTGAGGCTGTACATGGGAAGATTTTGTGTTGCTCGCTCGTGTGAACGGCGGAGGACTGCCTGGAGGGACGGAGGGGGGAATGACTGTATATGTGTGCGGTGTGAAATAAATCACTGGTTGGACGAGATAAGTTGGCGTCTGTACTGGGGTTACCTGTAGCAAGAGACTTCTGCTACACACAAATTCTGAAAGCAGGTTTGTCCTGCTGTGCTGAGGCATTGACGGCCTGAGGCGTTCAACTCGTTTTAAAGCTTTGTGGGTGTTGATCTACAGCTCGTCTATCTATATCCAGTAAACCAGTCATGAATCATAATTGCTCACAAAAGTTAAGGTACTCATCATCAAGATGAAAGTGTTTGGGAGTTACGTGCGTTGTTTGAGGAGTCCTGCCCCCACCACACTCCCTTTATGTCCCCTCTGGGTCTGCAGAGGTCTGACAGGTCAGCTTGGTGATAAAAACCAGCCGCCACTCCCACTTACAAACACTTCCTTGTTTACCGTTTCATTATTAATACTTGTAATTAATACCATACCAGTAGACTAGCAATGACCCACAGACATAGGCATTACCATTGATAGTGACTCTAAATGTACAAATTCACATTATTTGTCTAACCTCAGTTTACTGATGAAATAAAGTTCAGATCTCTATTTTATTAATATTATCTGTTATCTATTATTTCTACTTTCACCTTTAAAAAAAAAAAAATTCACCTAGAGAACCAAAACCATGACACTTGGTATATTTACCCTTATTACAGCTAGGGGGCAGCATGGCACTGTGACATTTCCACTGAAGTCATGTTTTTATTTTTTCTGTCCAACTACACCGAGTTGTTTCTAGACTTGTAAAACTTGTATGTTCCCTAGCCATGAGTGAAGAGGAGTAGCTTTTTCAAAACTCTAAATGTACCGCTTCACTTTGTAAACACCCACACTTCTCTCCAAAACAACTCAGCTGTCTATCTCTTTATTTCTCAGCAGTCACTCCAATTGAAGTCACTCAAGCACATAAAGGAATCTCAAGAATGACCACCTTGTTAAGCAATACATAACGTCTCCCTCTGAAGCTGTCCAGCCTGCAGGCCCTATTAGTTTACTGCTTGGCTTGGCACAAGAGAGGGAGAGATAATACTGTGGCATTCAAAAGGTTGATTTGTTTGTTCCACACAGAATAGCAACAAATGAAGGTCATGCCCTGCCAACAATAGCCCGTCAGCCAGTAAGAGTAAGAAAGCCCACTCTATTTACCTCCTTGTTCTGCTGTAGTGAGCTGTAGATACAAACCTAAACAAAGTTTTTCCACCAGGACGTCTGCAGCCCCAGTTTACATATTTTATTATTTTAAAATAATTAAATTGAAATAGACTGAATGTGGCTTTTTCGACACTGATCAACAGAAACACACCCTTTAATATTAAAGAAAAACAGATCTCTACAGTGTGTGTATAATTACAAAGCCATACACTTTCAACTATGTGCCATAACTCCACAGCAGGAATCATTCTTTTATTTTTTGACTGAAGGAGGTCAAAGTTTCATTTCTTCCAGAAGGAAAACTGACCCGCTGAGCATGAAATTAAATTTAAAGAGCTGCTATTGACACAGATGCTTTGACCCCACAGAGATTTTATCGGAGGAAGAGTGAAGTCAGTGATCACTGGATACTAGACTGATCAAATTATCTCAGTCAAAACCAGTGGTCGAAAGTACATTTACTCAAGTACTGTAAGTGCAATTTTGAGGTACTTGTACCTTACTTACTACAATTTATACTTAAGAAATATTGCACTTTTTCATTGTACTTTTTACTGCATTTCATTGATCTGAGTGCTTGAGATATTTGCATAGTGCAAACACTGTAAAAAATGTCATCTTATCAACTAATTTGTTTGTATTATTGAGTCCTAAAAGTCGCATTTTCTTTGTAGAACTTCAACCTGTTTAAATTTGTTTAACAGTTTTATGATTTTTCTAGAACAAGGTGGCATTTTTCTTGATACTAAAGCAGTGATCCCTTATTCTGTCTTCTTTCAAAATTCTCATATTCTCATATAAGAAGGAAACACATCCTCATTTAAAAAGTTAACATCAGATCCACCTTAATCAGCTTACATTAAAATACTGCATACATATGTTATATAATTATATTATACAAATTAGAGTTAGATAAATGTGTTATATATTGAAACACTGTAAAGGGCCGCTCTTCATAATGAGCGCTTTTACTTTTGATATACTAACTACTGTTTGCTGATAGTGCTTTTACTTGAGGAATTTTACTTGTAATGGAGTATTTTCACAATATTCTCTTAATGCTTTTACTAAAGATCTCAATACTTCATCCAATTTGGTCAAAACTAATAAAATCGAAATTTTGTAATCAACGAATATTTGCATGTTTGTTAATAGATACCTTTTTGAATGATGAAGTATATACAATGTAATTTTAAGAATGTATTTTTATATGTATTAAAATGTGTCTGGAGGGGATTTTTAAATGTTAAAATCAGTTGCCAGGAATTATGCAAAAAGAAAAAGGCATGTAATAGAGTACTGTATAACTTTATTTGTCTCAGCAGGATTTATGAACATACAATTGTGTACAGAGAGGTAGTGGCAGAAATTCATCTCAATCCACTCTCCCTCCGCAGGCGTCAGACATCAGCCAACAGAGAGTGCAAATCATTACAGTGTAGCAAAAACATCAACGGTCAGTTTATCAGTTCAAGGAAAATTAAAGGAGTCCCGCACATGTTCTCTTACAGGCATTGCAGGGCCTTATGTACAGGGTGGCAGAATAAAAATACGTGTATGAGGTTAAACAATGACTCAAACCATGTTCAGAAGTGTTCATCAAAGTGTTTCCAGTTTCATGTCTTCGGAGATGAAATGGTTTTGATGTGTGGCTTTGTTCAGTGCTGTAACTGCTAGAAGTCTGATTTTGGAAACAACAATCACAGAAAAGACTAAAGAAAAGTTAATTTAGGTATTCCACATGATTGCATGAAGCGGCCTTTTCCAGTAGATGTATAAACAATACTGCAATGTCACTAATATTTGGAGTAACCTGTGAAAACAACAATTAATGCCTGTGGATAATATTTTCATGGATAATTACTTGTCATCAAACCATATAAAACAGTATAAAAATGGATGTGTACGAAGTCCCTCATTTTCTGTTTCCTAAAACCCTCACTGGGCCAGGATTATGTATATTTAATAAAAAAAAAAAAATTATATATATCTATCTATCTCCTGGCAATTCTCACTTCATATATTCGGATTTGATCTTCATTCTTAAAAAAAACAAAACAAAAACGTAAATATATTTTATTTGACCGAGTCATACAAACATTTATGTTCAGATACTATATGTAAACATATTTGATAGACATAAAAAGGTAAGGGATAACTTGTTCACAAAGGCAGTAGGCTACTGGTTGCGTTGCTGTACAGTGCATTAAAGAGTGCGTTCTCAAGTTTACTAATGCTAGGATAATCATTGACAAGCATGTGTAATCCATTTGTTAACAAAGGAAAATCCACTCAGAAAAGAACAAATCTACACGAGACTTCATGTGGGAAAGAAAAATGACCAAATTAAACAGTATGTACATTTAATTCCTATGGGACAGGCCGACATATCAAAACTTTTATGATTTCATCCATTAATCTCAGAGCTGCTCAAATAATACTGAGTGAATTTATGGACATCGAGATTCTACCCAGAATTAATATCCAAGAGAAATATGTGAACTCTGTAGATGTGTGGATTTTCACAAAAGAACATTTCAAATGATCTCACTTAGCTGGAAAGTTTCGGAGTATTCACATGTTTTAGTGTAATATCTACAGGTTTGTTCAAAAGCACTTGGCAAGGATCGCCGGCCATTTGGTCCAACAGTCATGCATATAAAGCAGCTTTATTCTTGACCTCAGGGTTCGTTTACAGAGTGAAAGTAGACAACATGTTGTCCTGACTTGAGGAGCGCTTGTACCCCGATGACGAGCTGAAGTACGTCTCCCCATCGGTGCTGATGTCATCGTCGTCGTCGTCGTCCAGATTGTTGAGCAGCGGAGCAGAGGTGCTCTTACGCCTGGATGAGACACAACAGTATTGTAACGAGGACACTGAGCTTAAGCCTTTTCTTATTTTAAAGCATCACTCTGTCTGTTACGGATGACAAAATGACAACTGGACTTTTACCTGATCTCACTTCGCAGAGCTTTGAGCTGGCTCTGGAGCTGCTCGTTGGCCTCCTGTTGCTCATCCAGGTCTCTCTGCAGCTTCTTCTTACTGTGCTCCAGTCGGTCAATCTCCTCCTCAGCCTCATCCATCTGCCGTTTCAAGGCCTTCAGACGCAGATTCAACTTCAGGAAGAATAAACACACGCAGGATTAAAGCGGTTCAATAAAGATCAACAAATATCTTACTACATGGCTGGCAGACAGATGTAAGACTATTAAATTCAGGGTCTGTAGTAAGCTGAGTTTAATGACTGTTAGTCTGAGCATGAGAGTTTGTATTACATACCTGGTCCTTTTGATCTTGCAGTGAGTGATGTTCTTCTTCACTTTGCATCATCATCTCTTTTACCTTCCTCTCCAGCCTGCGGTTCACTAGCTGCAGGTTTGCACGCTCCCTGAAACACGTGAACAGTACATTTGATGCAGCACATCAGATTCTTTACAAGGTCTGATTAGCCTGATTCAGACGACTCCTATGAATAAGAAAAATCACTGTATAGTCGATCTACATAATCTAAAATCAGTAAGCTAGCTATCTTCACAAAAGTGCACCGTTCTCCTATATAACGTTGTAGCCTAAATCCATCAGTGTCTTAAACTTTTGGCTGAAACCTAGAAGTCAGTACCTGGCTGTCGTACTCAACATAATAAACCTCTCTACTTTTCAGTCAGCCTTCCCCCTAAAGCTTTCCTCTTCCATCACCTCAGCACACCTCATTCCTATTCCCAATGCGAGCCTTCATCTCACCTTTCCTCCACCTCCAGCCTCTCCTCCAGCTCCTGTATGCGTTCCTCCAGCTGGGCTACCAGGCCCTCTTTGTTGGACTTCTGGGAGCCCTCTAGATGAGACACTCTGCTCTTCAGATCTTTGTTCTACAGAGACCACAAAGAGACAAGCAGTGAGGCGCTTACAACTGGGCATATGTTCGTTTATATACCATAACTATATCAGTGTATTAAAAATACAAAGTAGCCATTAATGTGAGGATGGATACGATCAAATGAAAATTATGAAAAGACATATGAATGAAATGAGTTGGTGCTTTGTTGTGAGTTTGTAGAGTTAACACTGTGTGTAGTTGTTTTCCTCCAGACAGCAGAGTGTGTACCTGTCTCTCCAGTGCCATCTTGTCACACTCCAGGTCCTGTCTGCTAGCTCTCTCCTGTAGGAGTTCATTCCTCATCTGCTCCACCTGTCAAGCCGAGTCCAGTGTCATCGCTACAGTGTCACACACGTCTGATGACAGTGATTATCTCACTAAACGCCATTGGAGTCTCACTCACAACAGAAACCACTGCAGCGCACAGTCAAAATACTAAATAAAAAAGGAGTTACTGCTGAAACGCCTTCAGTTAATTGGTGAGCTGGATTTTCTTGTTTGGCTGCATTCCACCTTTTGATGAGCTCTTCATGTAAACTCGCCGTGACACGGGGTTGTAATCAAATCAATCCCACTAGTTTCTTAGTAATACCACCTTTTAAACTTGGCAACACTTTTATGGGAGGTGTGTGTGATTATACAACAACATGCTTATTGGATTTCTTTCAGAGAGATCAAAAAAACAAAGCTACCACCAACAGCTGGTTAGATTAGGCTAGCATAAGACTGGAAACAGGAAAACAGCTAGTCTGGCTCTGTCCCAAGGTAACACAATCCACCAACCAGCACCTCTAAAGGTCACAAATTAACATGTTCTCGTTTGTACTAAAAACTGAAGTTTAAAAATGACAAGTTGGGATATGTGAATATAGTAAGTTTAGAGGTGCCGTTAGGTGGATTTTGTTACCAGGCTAGCTGATTCCCCCTGTCCCCGGTCTCTTTATGCTAAGCTAAGATAACTGGCGACTAGCCTTATATTTAACAGACAGATTTGAGAGTGGTATCGATCTTCTCATCCGTCTCTCTGCAATAAAGCAAAATAAGCACATTTCACAAAATGTCAAACTATTCCTTTAATACTAATCCGCTGTCATCACATATCCACTCAGAGTGGCCTTACTGCATGAACACGACTGCTCAGTGATAGCCAACTTCAAAAGAAGAGAGGATGAAAACCGATCGATACAGCAGTGATGGTTCTTTCTTTGTGAGCGGAGCTTAGAATTGGTGATATTTTATGCCAATTAGTGGGTGACAGTGGGCTGCTCTGATGAACGATGGCCCCTATAACTGGTGCACCCAGCACAGTGCTTGAGGGAGCTGAATCAGCAGACTGGAACATACAGCGAAACTAATCTGCTTTGTGAAAGACGGCAGGAGAGGAGAGGGGAGATTACTCTCATTTAGACAGGAGAGGAGCACCTGGTGCCAGGAGAGACGCAGGTGTTCTTCCTGCTGCCTCTGCTGCAACCCCACCACCCCATAACCATGCACCCCGCACCCCCTTCCTCCCCACAGACATCAGAGCACACACACCAGCACATACCCACATGCACGTGTGTGTGTGTCTCCCCTCACAAACACACACCACTCGCACTCAACCTACTCCACACAAAGCTCGAGTGTTGCCTTGACAACCGACCTCAGCCTCATGCTGAACCAATGCCACTTTGTCACAATGCCACTCTTTTCTCCTGGCCAGGATTTTTTTTTTTTTTTTTAAAGAGAAACCATTTAAGGAGATTTAAATACTCTCCTCAACACTAAGCCTCTCTTGATGTCGCCATGCACATTCATTTTCAAATTTTGGTCACAACCTTTGAATCTGTCAGGTCCAGACTGAGAGGAACCTGTCACCAAGCCAAATGTCACAGCTCTTTAGAGCTCATAGTTTCACAGTTCATATAGAAAAGGGTTGCAAAAATGCCATGAAACTGACTGTGCTACACATTAGAATAAAACCAGTAGGGTTGCAATAAAGCAGTGTTATTTCTAAAACTCCAGAATCAACAGCCTCCCTCTGATTAGTAAGCACTCTCCCATGAACAAACAACAATCCCAAAAGCACATGTACTTTATCTAAATCTTACTTCACAGTGCCTCCGTCAGCAGCTTTATCGGAGAGGGGGGAGGAAAAGTGGAGCATTTGCTTGCAAGGATATAAAAACTGACTTTAAGCACAAGAACTGGATTTGTTCTCAAGATGAAGTTACTGAGCGTAATTTCCAAGTGAACTCCGCAACCTGAAAACTTGAGACATTTGGCAACTTGCATATTTTGGCTCGGGCAGAGCGTTAAGAAGGGTCTTTTGTGGCTGATGCATAAAAATTGGATGGGCACACTTAGAACCCGCTGGCAGGCTGCCAGCATGAATGATTATGCAAGATCACCTTACAAAGCAATAACCATCCACTTCATCTTACCAGAAATAAACTGGGAATTGTGGAAATTATATGTGAAGACACACACACACACATATACACACCTGAGAGAGCAATCATATGACCCATAAACCTGAATGTGAATCATGTGACTTGACACTCTTGGGACTATATTTGAGAGATGAAACTGATTCATTTAGAGATTAGCAATTGTGGTCATGATGTTAGAAGTGGAAGACAAGGCAACAGGAGATCTGGATATCGTTTACCGGTTGAGATGGAATGAGAGACACGTCTGTGTGAAATTAAGTGAACATGGGCAGCAGGTCACTGACAAACCTGAGCTCAGATAACAAGAATGTATTGAGTGCGTGCGCATTTTACCTGCTCTCTCCCTCGGTCTATCCTGTCCATCAGATGGTCTCCACTCTGACGCTCCTCAGCCAGGTCCAACTCCAGCTGAGCGATCCTGTCCTGCAAACGAAACGGTTACATCTGTATGATCAGTTAGTGTTGTTATCTGTATCTGTTTTCTGAGGTTTACGGAGTATGCAACATGAATGTCAAAAGGCCTTTTGCAATTATTTGACCTCTTCATGTCTACTAATGAGAAAACTTTTATCATTATGCACCTCCATGAGTTTGATGTGTCGAGCTTTGTCTTCTTTAGTGTGGGACTTTGTCTCAGCCTCCACCTCCAGATCGTGAACCTTTTTCTCCAGCATCTTCTCTCTAAGCACAGCGTCATCTCGTTCCCTCTGACACTTCCGGAGGTCCTCCTCCTGGTGTGACAACTGAAACAAAACGTAACATATTTCAACACCTCACTGTTTGTCACCAACACATTTGATTGTCCTGTAAAAATACCTAGACTACATGTTCTTTTGTACTGCACAATTTTTGAAAAATATTGTTTTGAATGTTCTACCTCAGATTTGTGAAGTGATCCACTGTCTGACAAGTGTCATGTTCTGACCATAAAGTATAAAAGCACAATTAACCATCTGGTTTCTTCAACTTTCAGCCTTTAAAGTATAAAGAAATTATGATTTCACATTTATCATGATAATTGTTGATAGATATAAAACATTTTTTATTGTCTTTGGATGGTGGGAGAACCCTGAGAGAAACCAGGCAGACACAGGGAGAACATGTAAACTCCACACAAAAAAGGCCTGGGACGACCAAGGTTCGTACCCACAACCTTCTTACTATCAGGTGTGTGTGTGTGTGTGTGTGTGTGTGTGTGTGTGTGTGTGTGTGTATTTATAACATTTCATCCCTGAAGATCAGTGGAACTGGTGTAACATGGGTTCAGTGTCTCATGTTCAGCATGTTACTTCTGTAGTAAGAGTGTATTAAAGCCGGTCCTCCTGTTGAAAGTCCATCTCCTTTGTCAATATATCATCTTGCTATTTATCAAGTATTACCGCTGTTGCGATGACCAACAATTTAGTTGCTGCTTAGGGAAATTATTATATGGTTCCCCTGAGTGAATAATGAATCCGGTGCAGCTAGTGTTTTCCCCTGTGTTCATTCAACCGCCCACAGCTGGAAAATCGCCCCCACTGCTTAATTCCAAGACAATGAAAATTCATCATCTGCCCATATTTCTCACCCAGAACAAATATTTGGCCATTAGTACAGAAGTGCTCCATATTTCATCATGTAAATACTTAAGTAAGTACTAATTTAAGCCATGAAGCAAAAGCTGAGCATACAAGGACTTAGTAATAGGTGCAATAGGATAATCGCACATCCTCTCTCAGGCCCTGAATAGCAAAAAAACACGTTTGGAAATTAATAAATTACTGTATAACAAATGAACAAAACAGATCTAGGGGGTGAAACCTGCTACTGCTATTTTTATGCTGCCTTCTTGGCCAGGTCTCTCTTGAAAAGAAAGAATTTTGAGGAAGAAGCATGTTATGTGGCCTACACTTGTAATTTTACTGATAGTCTGCCAAGTTCACATGGGTGGAGACGGACGGGGCATTTGAGAGCAGCTGGAAAAGTGGACTCACTAGGCCCAGTCCAGAGCAATCAGTTTCTCAGGAGAGGTGGAGGAGGAGGAGAAGGATGTGAATCCTGCCGGCACAGCTTTCAAAACAATGATATCACAACGCTGACATGCTCCTCTTCCTGTGCACCCGCTGGACAAAGATACATCAGCATGGATGCAGACAGAAAATAAGGATGCTGACCTTGTACTTTGAAGGACTGAACATAATGACTACAGGTTCCAGTAGAAAGTTCCTGCCAGAGAAGGAAATGTCAATACTCTTCTTTTTTGATTTGCTTGGAAGCCTCTTGAGCTTAAATTCAGGGCACAGCCTGCCAAAACCTCTATTAAAAAAGGTACCCAGTGGTGTTTTCATTGTAAACTGAAACGGTTTTGTTTACAGGGCTAGAGTTAGGGTAAATTATGTGTATCCTTAAGGCCTAACAAACATGCTGAATGCATTTCCTACCTCAACATTTGCAAACCCAAATTTTCTTTAAATCTGCATTGTTTATATCGGCTTGTTTACGGTCGTCTTTTTCTCTTCATTAATTGGCACATTACCTCTAACAATCTTTACCTTCCTGTGAAGTCAGCAGAAATGTGTCTCACATCACCCCCCTGCTCATTGGGTACGTTTTGTCCAAGTGTGCATGTTGGTACAACACAAAACTAAATATTGTTTCACAGCACCAAAAACAAACAATGTCAGGTTTCTAAGCCTGGTTTAACGCTCTGGAAAATAGAAATGTGTTCTTGCTAAAAATTAGTGGAAGGACAGTATCATAACATTGGTTCATCACCTACAAAAAAGTAAGAAAGCACCTTCAGAGATAATCACTCTTTTACATTTGGTGCCTCTGGGTCTGAACTGAGCAGAAAAACTGACACTGAAGTGTGACAATCAGTTACATCTTATTCACAGACCCTATGGCCTCACATGGTCTCAGAAGGTTGCAGATAGATGCCAATCTCCTAATCAGTGATCTTTTAAGTGCTGGTATCTGTATTACTCCATTGCTGCTATGCCCCTTTCCTCCCCAAACAACATAATTTCTCACAATGTCCTGTAGCATTTCTGATCTCGCTGAACTATAAACTGCTTCTGTGTAGTAACCTTAAATTTTATCTCAACTGCCCCACCTGGTTAAATAAATGTTGATGCGAGATAACAAAAACAACATAAGCCAGCACTAACATAAACTATTCACATTAATCTATTTCTACTTTCAACAAAAACAACCGTGTTCCAAAGTGCTGACAAGGATAAATTGCTTTAAACAGTAAACAATGCAGAGTGGTCACAAGTTTCACCAATATGGTGTTATGGCCTCACATCAAAGGATTATAAGGGTATTCTTCCTTTCCCTTCCCACATTTTCCTTTTAGTTCCAACTGTGTGCGTAAACATTACTTTTAATAAAGTACAGAGATTTTCTCTGGCTTGACTCGGCTCAACTGCTTCACTTTAATGTTATGTTTTGGGTTTTAGAGGGCAGCAGGGAGCAGAAATACCTAAGTGGTGACATCGCTCTCTGAAAGGAGAGGATGATGTTGGTGGGAGGGGGGTCAAACTCACTGAGTCACAACAATGGCTCATCATCCGCTGTTCTGCATGGGAGGGCTCGGTTGGGCTGACTAATGATGGCCTTGACTTGACCGCTCTCACCATGAAAGCAGTGTCAGCATTCAAATCTGTGCCCATTAACGTTAAATGAGGCTGACATAGCCCAGTGTACCTCTTCTTGCAGGGTTGTGGTAGCCAATAGGTACTTCTCCAGCTCTTGTCCTCGCTCCTTCAGAAGCCTCTGCAGCTCCGTCAACTCCCGACGGTTCTTCTCTTTATAAATATCAATCTGCTCCTGCAGCTCCCGCGTGGACAACTGGGATGCATCCACAATATCATTCATCTGCAGGCACAGTGAGACAGCTAGAAATGTGAGAAATCTACACCAGAATCCATTCAAATATCTTAATAAAAACTGAACTACTTCAATAGTCATAGAAAAGAAAATGTTCTTTAGGCATTTTTACTATTTTCTTGTTAAGTCCCTGTGAGGTCAAAACCAGTTGGAATTCTAAATCAACAGGTCTGCCTAACAAAGCTTCTTTCAGTGTTTTAAAATAAGAGTCTCTAGACTTCTTGCATGTGAAACTGAACAAGCACTTGACCACTGCATTGTTACTTAGTGAACTTGAACTACAACTCAATTCTTTGCTAAAACAAACAAAAAAAACACGAAGATTAATGAATTAAAGCATTTTACCAAAATGAGACCACCAATACTTATGTGGAGTCTGCTGGGATGAATTGAAGACCCAATACACTCACCTCCCTCTGGAGCTTCTCCACTGTACGGTCCAGCAACCTCCTCTCATCCTCTATGTTGTTCTTCATGTTCTTGAACTGCTCCTTCTGAGTCCTCTCTTCTTGTAAGCTCTCCTCCAAGTCCTTGTGTTCGCTGCTCAGTTTGGTCAAGTTCCTCTGTAGAGGCACACGATGTAAAAGATGAGAAACCACACTTGTGGTAGAAATCCACATTTCTCGACATGGAGTGTTGCTAATCTCACCTGCACATCCTCCAACCGAATGGTCAAGGCTCGATTGGCACGTGACATCTCCTCTTCTTGCTCCTTAATTTCAGCCAAAGATTCTTCCAACTGCTTTTTCTCTGTCTATTAAGTAGACATTTTGGCATATAACACTTTCATATAGTATAATGTGCTGATGTTTCAGTGTAGAACCTAACCAGAAATATAATAAAACTAGCATCAGTTGAAGTTCTGTCCCTCTTTATACGTCTTGACCCCTCACCTCCAGTCGGCTGACTCTGTCCCCCAGCCTGCTCTCCTGTAGCTTGGCCTCATCGATGATGCGGTTGAGTTTGGCCACCTCATTTTCCAGCTCCTGTGCCCGCCTGCGCAGGCGCTCGGTCTCCAGGGTTAGCCGTCCTGCTTTGCCCTCCACTGCACCCTTGGCTGCCTCCACTTCAGCCTTCTCACGGACCACTGCTGCGCTACTCTGCACATCAGAACAAGACATGAGGCTTCAGTACAAAGGGAAGCAGGAGTCTGTGACACTCAACAGAAAGTGGAACAAAGATGCACGATGGAACATTTGAGACTCTCTCAAAATACCTCATGCAACAAAAAGCTATTTGAAGTGCTCAGTGCTCACTGAAGCTTTGTTGCTGTGGAGACACCGAATAACAATGTCCTCCTGTAATTTATCTCACACTTCATAATAAACCACAAATGAAGGCAACTAAATCTGAGCTTTCATTAGCCTCTGCTGATTGAGGGCCAACAAAATCTGTGTGGTGGAAATTTTATCTTTCCTTGTGAAGAATTTAACAATTAAAGAAGTTACAGTCTTTATGCCATTTATTGAAAGAGAGCAGCATAATAAGTGAATTCAGCTGAAGAGCAGATTTGAAATTTGTTTAGACTCTGACCAATAGAAAACATAAAATGAAGAACATTTATTGCTGCCACCATATATGTAGAATCTAGGAGAGAAGTCAGTCTGTGAAAACTCTCAGCATTGAGCCACAGTGGGAAAAAAAGAGAGAAACCTATTTCTCACGGGTCTCTATATGAGTCTCTATATGACAAAACAATCTCTCAGAAATGTATTGTACCAAAACACAACTGCACTTAGTGGAAATGAAACTCAACTAAACAAAAGAAATTCAGAATATCTGTTCTTGCAATATCTTATGAGTTTATAATAAAGTAATGATTAATTTTGACCTTACAGTCTGAAGGCAAACAAGGCAGACTTGCTAGTCTCCTGTGCCACAAAATTTTGTCTTGTGATGGCTGTAACCCCAGAGTTATACAGTGTTGGTCTACACTTCCTGTGAGCTCTCCTAGCACTCAAATTTATGAATGAAGAGTGAGCTTTGACTCTGACATTACAGGGTGGAGTGCTGTACAGGAAAGAAAAGACGTGAGACAAACAGAAATACGAGTGCGTGTTTGTGAAGAGACAAAGAAAACTGATAACAATTAATACACAGACAAAAGGTTTCAGTTGTGATGACAGAGTCAGTAGACAAATGACGTGCAAGGGTTTGTTTGGAAACAAAACTTAGGAATGTTAGCAGACTGGTTTGTCAATTTTTAAGTTTATCTAAATACAGTGAGGTATGCCTGCACTTGAACACCTGTGGACAAAGACCTGCGGAAGACGTCTGCAAAATCTTTCACTTTAAGCTGAAACAGGTGAAACATAATTTAATTTAATAAATGTTCAAGAGAACATGTCAATTAGTTCATAAAGTTCAATGCTGTCTTCCTTACTGTTTGTTACTCATCACTGAGACTGCTGACATCAAAGTACATCAAACACACACACACACACACACACACACACACACACACACAGTGTGCTTTGACAATTGAACTGACTGAGTTGTAAACCTGCTGGTGACACACTGATGACAGGTGGCACACAAAAATGTATCAATATAAACAGTTGAACAAAAAAAATGTTATTTGTTATTCTTAAGCAGCACCCTTGAAGGGCTGCAAAAACCCCTACAGCAGACTCCTTCCTGCTAAATAACATTGCAATCAGCAGGAGGAGGAAGTTCCCTTGACTTTGACACATCAGGAAAAACATACACTAGTCCCTTTTAAAAAGCATGACAAAGAAACAAGTTATCATTGTGTATTTTAGCTGTCATGAAATTCTAACATCAGTGGACAAATGTGTATAGTTTTGTGAGCACTTAATGTCATTGGGCATTTGAAGGAGGTTTTGAAAGTGGTAACTTATTTACAAATGCAAATTTTAGTTTCTGCTGGAATCCAAAGTCTGATACTCGATGGTCAGCATGGCTTGTCATCATCATGCGTGAATGGACACACCTCCTGTTCTAGAAAGGTGGCTGGTGCCTCCCTGCTTCAGGCCAGTCAGACCTGTTTCCCCCGTCACCACAGAGCCGCCCTAATCTCTGCCTCACTGGGTTATCAAATTAAACAAATAGTAGACAAATAGAGTAAGACCTACAGTTGTGAAAATTAAAAAAAAGAACTTTATAATTTCAACCGAATCTCTCTTTTATAGCTCACAGATTCTGCTAACTGGCCTTCAACCTAAAATGACTGAGCTCTGCACCAGTGTTAATATTGTTATGATCGAGTTATTTCGGATGAATTAAGTCAGTTTCTAGGAGGTTTACATTAAGACTTCTACCCATGTAAAACAGGTGGTAATCTGTGTGGTTGTACTGGTTGTGCTGCGATTGTGTTAAGGGTGGAAGTTCAGGAATGGAAATGGGGCTTGGGCTGGATGCGGCGCTAAACACAGCTTTAGCTGCAATAATAAAGCATTGATAATAGTGTGTCAGGATTATGTCTGTGCTCCATTTTAACAACATACGCAACAAGTTCAGCCCTCACACTTCTCTGCCTGCCCCACTTCCCACACTGGGTCACAGTGGGTTAAAATCATGGGCAAAGCCGACCGGACAGAAAAAGGGAGACCCAGCTGCTGTCTGTGAGAGGAATCAGTGACGACAGCAGTGTCTGTGAACTGAAGTGGCAAAACCGCCTGTGGAAAGATAAACTTTTCTTAAACTGTAAACTAATTTCTCATATTTATCTGATCTATTTATTCTTTTTAGGCTTCACTTGATTCTTTTCTTATTCACTACTGCAAAAAGTCAATCATTTATTAAAAGTGTTAAAGCTTTATTAAAGGTTACCTAACAATCACTGAAGGATTAGTACTAGCAAAACACTTTATTATTATTTATCACTTTATCAGCTATTAGACAATGATTTGTTTAATTTTTCTATTTAATAAAAAAAAATTTCACCTCTTTAAATCCAAATTTAACAAAGAGACTGGCAACACGAGCAGACTTTTGTACTAGTAAAATAATAACGCTAGTCTGTTTTTTCTCCTCTACCTGAACTTAAAGTTTGACTTGGGTCCCATTGTGCACTCAAACTGTTTGTCTAAAGTTGCACATTAACTAACTTTGTGCAGTCTTTGAAGCACAGCACAAATGCTGAAAGTAAAGTATGTGTCCCAGGTCGTGTGCTGTGGTGAAATCTTGGCTATCTCTGTTGTTCCCACCAAATCAGCTTCCAGTAAAACAAAAGAGCAATTGGTCTAAAAATAAATACAGCGTCAAGAAACCGGCAACAGAAATCCACAACCAAGAAGAGCGTCAGTGTTTTTCCTGAACTTGTTCCCTCCATATTTTGGAGAACTGTAACTTCTATAAATGTCAGCAAGATTAATCCCTTCATCAGAAAAAACAGATTACGATTCAACAACACCATAAAAATTCTCAAGTTCAAATGCAACTCAGAGAGATCCACTACAAGCAGGTGAAGGGCTCTGTACACCTGAATGACTTAGGTCCACAAGTCATTGAACGTGCTTTAAGGCATTTTTTAAAAATCACCCAGAATTACTGTAAACAAAGGCAGTTTCACCAGATTAAGAAATTTTCCACAAAGCCAGCAGCTAGCATGTTGTCAGTCCTCTCGTCCCCCCATTCTTGATGTTGCTCTGCATGTGTTTTGTTGGGTTGAAGACAAACATGATGGAGGTGTTTCTTCCACAATTTTTTCCCCGCTGTCCACCATCAGGCAAACTATGAAAACATTTGTTCCACAAAACTCAACAGAATGGTGCGCAATATAACACGCAGTACAAAGGCTACCAATACTATTAATTTAGTACTATTAGTTTACTTTTTCAAATGGATGTGATTACAATTTATTGATGTTAAAAAGCAATACATAATAATTGAAAATTAAAAATACCTTCTCAAACTTCATTTAATGCACTAAATAATACACAAATTTCACTTAGTCAAGTATTTTCTATCACAGACAAATACAGCATTTCGTACATGAAGTCAATGATATTATTGCTGTGCTTTGTTAAATTGCTGATAAGTGGTTTCTTGTTATCTAATTTCACTGGTGCACTCACCTGCAGGTAACTAAACCATGGTGCTACGAAAAACATGATTTCCTTCTACAGCAGCTGAAAAAACACCGTAACTGTGATTTCACTTACAAAAACAGGCCCACAGCAACACAGACAAATTGATTGGCTGATACCAAATAAAGCTTCTGCAAAAGGTCCATAAATATTTTCTCTCACATTTCCTGCTCTTCCTGTTGTCAATCTTCACTCAACACGATTCCAGCCTCTCAGTCGTTTCCTCTTTCCTGTGCTGTCAAAGCTCATCTCATTCACAAATTTCATATATCACCAATAAATGTTCATTTAACTTTCCTTCCTCCATACTACAAAACCAATCTGTATTCTCTTCTCATTGAATTACAAGTTATTACCTCCTGCAATCACAACTTGAGCCTAAACAAAGAGATTAGAGGTTTGCAAAGATGCTAAAATATGCGTGGCAGGCTAAAATAAGCCTTGTAACTCTTGTTAATTCTGTCTAAAGATTGACGAGCAGCGTTGTTAGTGCTGCAGACATGTATTTTATGTTTATTGGCCAGTCAGCTGCTTACTGTTTGGGTGGCGGGAGGTAAAATTAAGTCACTGATCCTGTTTTTCCCCATAGTGGGTTTAAACTTTTTGACAGCTAAAGTGATGCAGCGTAGTTGTGCCAAAGAATAAAATGGCTTTGTTGTCAATTATGGAAAAAGGGCCACATATTCAAACATGACTTGAAAATAAAACTGTCCAAGGTCATTCAGAGTACAAGACGCTGCCTGTACGGTATCACATTATCTGAACTTCATATCAGGAAAATAAATAATTTAAATAAAAACTTTGTTGGCAGGGTAGAAGCCTGAATTTGCTTTGCCAGCACAAAGTATGTGTTACAAATACAACAGCATTCCTCATAAAAGAAGGTATCCAGACCTGAGGTTAACTGGAACAGAAGCCCTGTCATGGACTGAAAGGAAGGATTGAAGTAGAAATTAAAACGCGACAGCTGAGAAGTGTTGGCATCTCTTTGGTCAAAGGAGGATGGTAATCAAATCTTGTCTCGTCCCTAGAGAAATGGGAACACAAAC